CTAGCACCGAGTATGTGGCCCAAACGTGCATGAGCCGAACTCTGGGCCCATAACCAGGTTTTAAGAGCACCTATCTTTTTCTACCCCCCAGCAGTCTCAACAGTTCATCCCTATCAACCCTGCTTCTGGGCCGCTATTGAACCCGGTTTAGGGTTTAGGGTTTCGGGTTTAGGGTATTGAGCCCGGCCACCTCCTCCTCCATTGGCTGGAAACCTGCTTCTGGTCTCATTGCGCCCACGTTTTCCAACTTCCGCCTGCTCCCCTTCTCCCCTGCCACCCCTGGTCCTGGTTGTAGATTTCCAGCGGAAGCCATCCAAGTGACAGGAGCCCTATATAAACCCTAAATAGTGGTTTCCATTTTCTTTTCCTTAATCCTATCTCAACCCCTATATTCTATCTACTTAAGAAAATGTATCCAGACATGATCCGCTCTGCCCAAGCACTCCGTTTGGGTGTGCAGGTGGCTAGGGAAGTCATGGAAAATATCGCAAGATGTACTAGACCCTATGGTAGCCCGGTGGCCTAGACCCGAAGGGCATATCTCCTCAACCCTGTGAATCAGAAGCGACTCTTTATGCTACATACTCCTGGTATAACCTCTACATAAGCCCTATATAACCCCGACAGAACCCTATGTAATCCCTTCACAGTCCCTATATGTCTCTCATTCTCTCTCCATATAATCCCTGTAGAACTCCTATATAGTCCCTGTATATAGAGGGCACTGTAATGGGAGCGGCTCAACTCATGTCTCTTCAGCAGGACCCGCTGATTTTAAGGCCACCAGATCTTGTATTATGAGCTTCCCCCAAACACGAATCATCTCATGCCGGCCCAGTCGCAACTCCTGGAGCCCGCGCTTGACCTGAGTTCTTCTTGACGGGATTTGGCAAGGCGATGTTACAGGCTTTTAGAGGTATCGTAGAAATGAGGGTTTGCAACAACTTTCTGTGGAGTGCTGACGGTCCATGAAGGTTTTGCTGTGGCTCTTTATGATTATCTTGGCTACAAGGCTCCACAGGATTGTGTTCCGCTCTGAGCTGCTGCCTGCCCTAATCAACATGAATTTTCTGCTGAAGGCACAGGGGTTTCACCCCTAAACCCTAAACCCTAGACCCTAAAGGGTTAGGGTTTAGGGTTTAGGGCAATAATTTGTCTAAAGGCAAGCTATAATCTCTCACTGCATCACGGCTCTGGACTGAAAAAAGGGATGTAGGATTTTTGTTTTAGGAGTTAGAGTTTAGGTAGGTTCCAGGATGCTTTTGCAGTGGTGTGTGCGGCGAGGTTGACAGATTTAGGGTAGTCCCCTTGACATCCTGTGCGATGAACTGCAACGCCCGATTATGAAGCGATGCAAGGGTCGAACAAGGACCCTAAACCGGGTTGCTGTGTTGCTGCTGAGGAACTTAAATTACACTGTTAAAATAAAGGAGCCGCTATTATCTGCATATACCCATAGTATGGCAAGTTATTTAAGTTCCTTAACAGCAACCCAGCAAACCCAAATCTAGTGCTACCTGCGGACATAGCTGGGGTTAGCTTACAAGGAACACTACACAGGCCCTACAAAAAGCCCCCTAAGCCCTACATAGCCCTCAAAACTAGAAATTCTCATTCCTACATACTTTCCCTGTAGCGCAAGCGGCAGCGGCCGAGTCGATATACTTGTCCAGGCTGACAGCCGACCGCGCCTCCATGTCCTGGATGTCAGGAATTTGGACTTGGGTTTAGGGATTAGGCTTTAGGGTCTGGATCTCATTGCTTTGGGCTGCAGGTTAGTAGGGAGTAAGGGAATATATCATAAAGGGGCTATATAGGGACTATATCCCCTTATTCCCTATCAAGAACCAGCAAGCTTAGGTCTTGTGGTTTCCAATCAAAACTTATTTCGAGAACAGGGTTCGGGGTGCCTTGTGCCTTGTGAGCTAGAATAACAATCTCCTCCCACGAGTGCCAAACAAGGAAAACAATCCGGGAACGCCAGCTCCAGGCAGAGGCATCAAACAGGAATGTTGAGAGAGGCCCACTCGGCCGCATGTCGGCGTTATGAATGAGGGATGATGGATCTTGACAAGGAATCATATAGATTGCGGACTTTCTGATGTCAATGTCACAGTGGCTGTTGATTTCATTGCTTCGTTAGGTTCTAATACTCAAATTACGTACGGAATCTAAACTATATCAAACTAGAACTACTGCTTCCATGAGGTTGCCAGAAGAGTCTACGTGAAACTTGAGCATGCTTACTTGGGGGGTCACGGTGACTTAGTAAGAATACAACCCCTGGAAGCCATGTTATAGCCAGTTATCCCCATTATCAAGCCACTTCCTGAGATTCCATGACCCTCCAAGTAGAAAGTTTCTGACTAGGCAGCTTCTTGAGTTGGGCGAAAATTTGCGGCACCCCAAAACACGGGCGGTGTTGAACTGGGGGGCCTGAAGAAGGGAGCACGATTTTGACAATTTTCCATATGGATTTTCAGCCCAAGGGATTTTCCCTTGTTGGGGCGAACCGTGTCATGTTGCAGGAAGGGGTCACGCGCATATAACATCACATGCAGCCATGTATACACACGTATATATGTTTGTAATGTCTCAAGTCATGAAGCCATGCTGCAACATCGTACTTACTACATATGTTGTTATATATATATATACATACACATCGTGTACTTGTAAGGATGTATGAAGGTCCAGCATGGGCTGTTCAGGGGCTCAACAATCCCTACGTAGAAAGCCCTCTCTCACAGTAGCTACATTCACTCACTCCCCTGCCCCTTAAGCACCAAACAGACAACCCTTTTGCATCTGGGCTCGTGCACAGCCTAACAAACAACCCGTAAAACCTAAACCCTAAGCACCCTGATCCCTACTCAAAACCTTAAACCCTAAGCCTCCTAAACCCTGAGCACCCTAAACCCTAAACACCCCAAACCCTAAGCCAAGCCCTAAGCACCCTAAACCCTAAACATCCTAAACATCCTAAACCCTAAGCCAGGCCCTAAGCACCCTGAACATCCTAAACCCTAAACACCCTCTAAGGTGCCCTGAACCCTCAACCGGGCCTTGAGACTGGTCTCCAGGGCCTTGTCCTGGGCCTCCATGGAATTCTTAGCCTGGGCCTTGGAGTTGCTATGATCTATCATAACCAACTATATCTTAGGAGGACCCCCCCACCCTGTAATAGTGACTATAAGCGATACTAGTAACTATATTAGGGCCCTCTCATATTCGTATTATACCACTATTACAGGGTGGGGGGGTCCAACTAAACTATATGATACTAATGAAATATCATAATACACCCACAATATACTCATGATATACTAGTAATATACTCATAGCATCTACTGTAATCTACTATCATATACCATCATATACTGATAGTATACTGAAAGAACTGTGCCTTGGAGCTGCCAGTTTTGCTGTTTTCAGGGTTTAGAGTTTAAGGTCTTAGGCCTTTTGCAAAGGGGATACAGGGCCCATATATTTATAGGATTTACATGGGGATGATGTAGGGTTTGGGGTTGGCAGTTTAGGGATGTTACCCCCAAGGACGCTCGGTTCATCTGAGGGTTTAGGATCCCGGGCTTGGTAGGCATACTTTAGTGTTGACCATTAGTGGCAACATTGGTAACTAGAGGGATATACTTCTAAGATCTTAAAAGATATCACTTATAACCTGGCTATAGCTGGAGTGTTTGCCTGCCCAGCTTTTAGGACCTTGTGATGTAGCAGGGGTTTAAGATATGAAGGCTTCAAGATGTGAGGAGCTTCGTGTTTTCGCGCTGTAGGACTCAGGGATTTCTTCCTAAACGCTCGGCAAATGTAACTGAGTTTCAAACATCCTTCGCTTGGATTTGTCAAAGCCACTGAGCGAGGTCTACAAACCGGTAACCTTGGGCTTTAAGGTTCAGGGTTTATGAGAACCGTAAAACCTAACCCATACACGCAAGCCCTGGGACAGTACTCTGCCGTGTAGACTTTCCTGCGCCAGAACTACGAGGGCTCCAAGGGTGTATACAGCGTAGGGCTCTTGGTTAAAAGGTATTCGTTCATGTGCAACCACTAGTGCCCCGCGGCGCTTGTAGCTACAAACCATTGATACTCGAAATCCTGCATGGACTCATATACCAAAAGCCCCAGAATTCTGAAGGTTTCAAGTACTTGGGGTCATGCAAATGATTTAGTATCAACAGTAGGAAGCTCACGTACCAAACCATTCACACGGTTGGTTCCAGCGTCGCAGCATCAAATCAAGCATATGAGCACACAAATCACCTCAGGCTTCAATTAAGGTGATGATCTACCAACGCGTGAATTCCCCCTGCATTTCCATGTGATTTGGATTTTGCTAGTCACTGTTAGTCACCAGCCAGAGTCGTACGTGGAAGTTTGCTGCTTGGTACCACCAGGGAAGTCCCGATTGCTCCATTGATACTATGTGCAAGGCCCCTAAACCCTACTATCCTGACCTACTCCGAGGTCAGAGCTCCTTCAGCCCAGAACCGTATGCTGTAAAGCCGGACCAAAATCCTAAAGCGGCTTAGGGTTTGGGGTTTGGGGTTTAGGGGTTTAGGGTTTGGGGTTTAGGGTGAGATGTTTAGGGTAAACTTTCCACCCTCAGCCCTAAATCCTACACCTCGATCCTTAAGTTAAATGATTTAAATCCTAAATCCTAAGCCCTGAACCCCAAATCCTGAATCCTAAACACCTGAGACCCCTAACCCTAAGCCCTAAGCCCTACACCCTAAAGCCTAAGCCCTAAACCCCCAAAACCCTTAACCCCCTAAAGGGACCTAGGGTTTCCATTTCATTTTCCATGTTCTTTTCCATTTTGACTACTTGGTTTTTGGGCCGCAGATGATGGCTAACACGTTGCTTGCTGTTTCACCGGGAGTGAGGGGTCAGAAGTGCCCGCCATGCTCAGAGCACGCTCGAGCTGCGTTCAATTCAAATTTCCATTTTGACTTTCCATTAGTGAATCCTGGGCTCCGGGCATTAAGGGAAGCCTGGAACTCCGCCACGTCCTTTGCGACGCTCTCGTTGATCTCCTTGACCACAGCATCGGCCTCGCACTTTGTACGGTTTAGGGTTGAGGGTTTAGGGTTTAGGGCCCCCCAGGTTACTACAGAGTTTAGACATGCGCATCGCACAACAATGCAGGCACGGCAATGACTGTCTGTTAAGGCAATTCCCAGCGCATTATAGAGAGTTTAGGGTTGAGGGGTTTAGGGTTGAGGGAGTAGGGGTGTAGGTTTGAGGGGTTTAGGGTTGAGAGGTTCAGGTGTTGATAGGATTTTGGTAACCACAACCCTCAAAACTAGGACCCTATGATGATCGCATGACGGCTATAGGGTGTGAATCTTGAGTTCGGCATTCTACATTACACGCAGCCCCAACGACATGGTCATTCATGTGAATCCCAGCCAGGGACCTGGTTGCTATCGAGCTAAATTTGAGGTTGGGCACGCGCATCGCTCCAAGCAAAGTTTAGGGCCAAAACAACCCTAGGGTTATATTGGGATACTGGAAAAGATGGAAACGACTATTTAGCGTTTGGGTTTGAGGTCACAGCAACACTATTTCTGTGGCATTTTTGGCGCAGACATGGTCTCCCTGCATGCGATAGAATATGGGGGCATATGAGCATCTTAGTATGATTGTGGGGAACATATTCTATCTACTTAAGGCGGGCTGTACATCCTAAGCACAAACACAGGAAAATCAATGAGGGCAGAGAGCAGTGAAGCCAAAGACCTTCCAAACTTCAAGCGTCTCGACATGTCACAGAACTGCTGTCGCCACCGCATTCGGCAGGGCCCCAGGACACCACTATTCCATCTGCAGGGATTGCTGCAAAAGCGCGCGAACTGGCTTGGATAAGCTGCACATCCCTCAGCTGATCTTGCACCGCACTGCTGTCGCCACCGGAGTGCCCGGGGCCCCAGGTCACCACGGATCCATCCGCCAGGATGGCAGCAAAAGCACTATCAGAGGCTTGTATATGCTGCACATTCATCAACTTATCTCGCACAGCACTGCTGTCGCCACCGCCGTGGGCGTGGCCCCAAGTCAACACAGATCCATCTGTAAGAATGGCAGCAAAAGCGCGCGAGCTGGCTTGAATCTGCTGCACATTCTTCAGCTTATCTTGCACAGCACTGCTGTCGCCACCGTAGTCAGTATCTCCCCAGGTCACTACGGATCCATCTGCAAGAATCGCAGCAAAGGCAAAATGAGAGGCTTGTATATGCTGCACATTCCTCAGGTCATCTTGCACAACAGTGCTGTCGCCACCATAGCCAGCATGGCCCCACGTCACCACAGATCCATCTGCAAGAATGGCAGCAAAAGCGCGCGAGCTGGCTTGAATCTGCTGCACATGTTTCAGCTTATCTTGCACAGCACTGCTGTCGCCACCGTAGTCAGTATCACCCCAGGTCACTACGGATCCATCTGCAAGGATGGCAGCAAAAGCGCGCAAGCTGGCTTGAATCTGCTGCACATTCTTCAGCTTATCTTGCACAGCACTGCTGTCGCCACCGTAGTCAGTATCTCCCCAGGTCACTACGGATCCATCTGCAAGAATCGCAGCAAAAGCACTATCAGAGGCTTGTACATGCTGCACATTCCTCAGCTTATCGCGCACAGCACTGCTGTCGCCAACGCAGTGCACGCGGCCCCAGGTCACCACAGATCCATCTGTAAGAATGGCAGCAAAAGCGCGCGAGCTGGCTTGAATCTGCTGCACATGTTTCAGCTTATCTTGCACAGCACTGCTGTCGCCACCGTAGTCAGTATCACCCCAGGTCACTACGGATCCATCTGCAAGAATCGCAGCAAAGGCAAAATTAGAGGCTTGTATATGCTGCACATTCCTCAGGTCATCTTGCACAATAGTGCTGTCGCCACCATAGCCAGCATGGCCCCACGTCACCACAGATCTATCGCCAAGAACAGCAGCCAATGCTGCATGTAGACAAAAGCTAGTGGCTCGCAGCTGGATCAGCTGCACTTGCAGGCTCAGGAAGTCGCCATTGCACAACTCACTGTCTTGAATGGTTATTGCTTCGTCCAACACTGATCCGTTGGAGTGGACAAGTCTGCCCTTGCCAACTGACAGGGCAGTTTGCGCACGTCGTTTGAATGCCTCAACATCAACATCCAGTCCAGTCTCAATTGAGACTGTCCTTCCGCTCAGCAGGCTCACATGGAGTGTGATTGGCATGAACCTGCCCTGCACTTTTTGAGAAGTAGCCGTAAGTAGCCGAAATGTCTTTGGGTTCAGCGTGCAGGCAAGTAGGGTTGGCTGCATGGCTGTCAGCAGACACATGACACGCACATTATCTTACTCTTACCCCTACCCCTACCCCAAACTCTGTTCTTACTCCTCTTACTCCGGTTGCTCCTCTTACTACACTTACTCCTCTTACTGCTCGTACTACTCAGGCTACTCTTACTACTCGTACTTGCTACCCTTAGCCCTATAACAATTGCTTTTTTGCGGTTGCGATTACTGTTACTGTTACTATTACGTTTCCAGTTGCTGTTACTCTTTGTGTGTGTAGAGACTTAACAGGGACTTAACAAGCCTGCCATGGATAAAGTAATGTAGAAGCCTGGTAGCAATGTCATCCCATTTTTCCCAGATAGCAGAGCTATTGAATCAGCTATTGTACATGACTTCTGGCTCAAAGCGCTGTTCGGGTGCTGCGCAGGGTGCTGGTTAAGATTACACCAAAGCATCTCAAAAATAATGAATCAACTCTTCGAAATCGCTATCATTGCAATACTTACGTTTGAGCGGCATTCAGGCAGATCCGAAGTTAACAGAATGAGACGCCTATACACTTCATATCAAATCACTGCTCGTTCAATCCTTGAAATGGGGAAGCATGGGCTTGAGTTAGATGCCATAAACCAGGACAACCCCTAAACCCTAAACCTTTATATTCAAATTCGTACGCCCCAAGCATGCGCTCGGTGCCTGCTCCTTAGCTTTCTTGGCCTCTGCCAAACGCGCAGACGCCTCAGAGGTTCATGTGTAGTTATGCTTTGTTGGAATTCATCGCCCTCTGAAAAAAGGTAGTGGAGGGTCCTTCTGAAGCCTACTTCCTCCAGCTCTCGAAGTCGCATGTAGCATCCTTGTTGAGGGCATATCCTTACCAAAGATAAATGGGGACTGCTTTAGGGTGGGGCAATTTCGCATTATAGGCAACATGGCAGATGACAAGGACGCGAGCCTGCTCACCGACTTCTGAGAAACTTATTCCCGCGCTCCACTCTGTGTCGAAGACTCAACTGCTAGACGGACTGGCAAGTCCAACCGGAACAATCGTCATCGTGGAAACACTCAAAACAATCATGGAGATGCAGGGCCCTCCGTTCTGAAACTAGCCAACTAGCAGCGGCAAATTCATGCATAATACAAACAACAGCAATCAAGACCCTGTCCAAAGATCACCCACTGCTATCACAAATATTTGCAATCCCAGGAACGGCACTTGCCTCTGACACTTGTAGTCACCATGACATGTACGCACCTGCACTCTGCACTGCTAAACCCTAGGCATCCCTAGGCCCTAAACTTTCTGAGCCCTACAGAAGCCCGGCGCCAAAAAAGAGAGCAAAACACCGACGGGGGTTTCAAGCCTCGTTGTACTTGGCGATGGCGTCGTCGATGTCGCTCTGGATCTCCTTGCAGGCAGAAGCTTTACTTGCTTGCGCTCAGTTGGGAAGGGGACAAAGGGTTACAGGTATTATCATGGAAATTGTGAGGATCCATGTTCGGCGCATGGGCTTTCAGGTTTAGGCCAAGCTCAAAGTTCAACTTTGAACTACCGAAACTGGCTTTCGGCTAGGGGCGCTGCCCCACCAAACTTATCCTGTACCCCAAGAACCCCTTATCATACAGTTCTATCCCCAGGCACCCGAAGATTCTGTTTCCCGGTGCCTTCTCCCGCGAAGCCATCGACTCGCTGAGGAGCGGCCCCAAGAAGTAGAACAAGCCTTAAGGGGTAACGGAAAAGAAAATGGACCCTACCATAGTATATTGGGGGTATATAGGGA